ATGATGATGATGATGATGATGATGATAATGATGATGATGATGAAAATAAGGTAGGATCGGGATTAAGTTCCTTATCTTTTTCTAATCTAGACCTATTTTAGGTTAGGCAACATATCTTTTATATATTAAAAAACTTTAGGGCCGACGGGGTAACGCTAGGTAGCCGGTCGAGTTGCCCGAAACACACACTTATTATATGTTTAATACCCAGTAGGCACTTTATACAGCATTACGCTGTAAAATACGACCCGACCCGGACATGTCACCGTCATGCTCTGTTACGCCGCATACCTCTCGACAAATTAAGTTTTATGCAAGAGAGGTAATCAAGATTAAAGATTTCACTGTTGTCAAAACATGATTGTTTCCCTTGACACACTCTCTAAATGGTCAGATTATAATCACACTGGCCATAGCTTTCGCAGAAGCGGTGGGTCTACCGCAGCGACGGTGGAGTATTCGTCGCAGAAGCGGTGGATAAAATATGGCCGTTTGCTGTTGTCGGTAAGTATATGACAGAATTTTGTTTTATGTTTTAATGTTTTACTGGAAACACTCAGTGAGACTGGAGCCAACATATGTACTCTTTCAACTTATTACACGGACACGGTGCAATTCATTGCCGTTTATGCAAACACTTCTGTACAGTTTGATGAGGGGACGCCACTTTTGCCTAATTTTGGTTAAAACACATACAAATGTGTGCAAAACGACCCCATCATACATCGGTATCACATCCGATCAATGATACTTTCACAAATTAATCATAATTTGAAAAATTGGGAAATTATTATTGCTTGTTTATAAAATAAATGACAAAAAATGTTTTCGTCGCAGACGGCGGTGGATTCGATTGCAACGCAGTGCGGTGGACCCGATACCATTTTTGTATATTTTAAGAATTTAACTTGACGTAAGGCACTTTTTAATTGAGTGCAGCCATTTTCTTACTTTGACATCTGAGAAACGTGTTTATTTGATGTTTAAAACGATATTAATTATTATATATACTCTCGTACAAATATATGTCCGAGGTCCGCTTTGATTTTCCTTCCATTGAAAATTACTTCAGCCATAATAATCATAGAATAATCCACGTTCAACAATTTATTTCGGGTTATTACTAAGTATCAAGTATATTTGATTGTGAATGCACCATTCCAGTTGAAAAGCGCAGGAAAGTAAGAACATATAATATATATATAATGCCCTTTATCATATTTGTATTTCCAAAGTTCATATTAGGGTTCATGCATTTGACAACCCGGACCGTAGAGGAAACGGCGGAAACTAAGAGTCATAATATTTGACCTTGATGCACCACCGAAAGGAAATATAGCGATGTGCAGGGAATTCCACAAATGTGATGAATCCAGCCAAAATATCACATGTGTCAGACATTTACATGTTACACGTGATCACGTGTTATACCGTATAACCAATGCCGATTTCTGACTTATTAAAAGCGGCATGGCAGGTATATACATATATATGCATATATTTTTGCATTATGGCATATGAGTTATAAAAACATAAAGTTAACACATATTCATGGCATTTTAGAGAGTATCATATTAGTTATAAAAATTTTGAAAGGCTATACAATATGGCCGTATATAAACGGTTGTTTGAAAATATAATACATAAACATAAAATTTCTTATTAAATAAACAGCAGTCGTGTATATAAATATATAAGCTTTATAATACTGCATGTTTGATTCGAAAATCGAGACGTTTATCTAATTATAGAGCTCTTTGGTTTATTTGTAACTTTATTTTCTGATTTTTACAACATGTACAAGTATTATAAAGAATTTCGATAGCCATTAATATTGCGAACAACCGTTTACCGTTCACATACGACCATATAATCTGTTGGATTTATTTACAACGAACTCATAATACATCAAGCATTTTTTGTTAGAGAAAAATGAGATAATTTCATAAATCGACGGCAGCCATGTATTTAAAAAGTACATTGTATGTATATAAACGTCACGATTATCCAATGAAAAGTGACGTAACAAATGTGCAGTATTATAAACACATACACGCAAAATTAAGGAGGTTCAATATAATTATATTCTTTAAATTAAGCATGATGCTAGAATATGATAACATAAACATTTAGAGCGGAAAAAAACTTAGGGGTCACCGATCTCATTTCCTGTACGTGCATTTGATTTTTTCCTTAATTGTGGTTATTTCAAGGTCATATAACTTAAATGTAATTCTGAAAAAACTTTTTTCTCCCGCTTATTAAGTTCTTTACTATATTTGTGTACATTTCTAAAGAAAGACTTAATTCCATAAAATACTTCTATTACCTTTTTTTTATTTCATTTCATACTTTAAAATTCTTTAAACATATACCATATCTAAAACCATTTTTTTTTATATATGTCCCAATTTAAGAAAAAGAAGAAAAAACGCGTAGGTCTTTACTAAAAAGTAATAGAGAAAAAACTTTTCCTGAAATAACTCTTACGCTGTTAACATAAAATTTATTTATATTAATGTTCTCACTATATGGTAATATAACACAGTGACATTAAAAACTGAGGTTGTTTTTCGTATTCAAGAAGCATGTTCTGTTTATCTTTACGAGTATCTTTTATATGTCTGTATGACAAAAATGAACTTACGGTCTTTTTAAGTCCAAGGTTGAACGTAGATTATTCAATGATAATTATGGCTGAAGTAATTTTCAATGGCAGGAAAATGAAAGCGGACCTCGGACATATACTTGTACGAACGTATATATAATAATTAATATCGTTTTAAACATCAAATAAGCACGTTTCTCAGATGTCAAAGTAAGAAAAGGGCTGTACTCAATTGAAAAATGCCTTACGTCAAGTTAAATTCTTAAAATATACAAAAATGGTATCGGGCCCACCGCACTGCGTTGCAATCGAATCCACCGCCGTCTGCGACGAAAACATTTTTTGTCATTTATTTTATAAACAAGGCAATAATAATTTCCAAATTTCCAAATTATGGTTAATTTGTGAAAGTATCATTGATTGGATGTGATGCCGATGCATTATGGGGTCGTTTTGCACACATTTGTATGTGTGTTTTAACCCAAAATTAGGCAAAAGTGGCGTCCCCTCATCAAACTGTACAGAAGTATTTGCATAAACGGCAATGAATTGCACCGTGTCCTTGTAATAGGTTGAAAGAGTACATATGTGGGCTCCAGTCTCACTGAGTGTTTCCAGTAAGACATTAAAACATAAAACAAAATTCAGTCATATACTTACCGAAAACAACAAACGGCCATATTTTATCCACCGCTTCTGCGACGAATACTCCACCGTCGCTGCGGTAGAACCACCGCTTCTGCGAAAGCTATGGCCAGTGTGATAATATTATATTTTTCAAATATTTGAAAATTTCACCATTCGATTGTTTCAATACAATTTGTTTTTTTTTTTACTGCCACATCCCCTCTTTGCATGTTTCCCTAAATTCTAAAGAAATTATTTTTGCTTATGAACGTATTTCTGTTTTCATTTTGGGCTTGTACAATTTACAAAGTGACCATAAGTAATAAGTGACCATTGCTTTAATCTTAAATAAATGCATGCGCGTAAACAATGATGCAAACATTTATAACAAAAAAAATAGTGATGTGTTTTATTGGGAATACAAATAATACCGGTGAACTGTTTCGATCTTTAAAAAACCAACAACAACAAAATATGGATATTTTGTGCACAATAGCAAATAAACAAAATTGCCTTAACATTAAAAGGCGATAATGTTTTGATCACACTGGTATATGAACCTTGAAAGTTGAGAACTTTCAACTTAATATAACTAATTATACAAATGTATATAACTGTATTATATCAATAACTAATTATGAAAAATATTCCAGTTGCCGTATCGCGCATTATTCAATTTATGGAATAATGACTTTTGTATATCTAGTTGAATTAAACCTATATTTCAACATACTGGACCGAAGAAAACTGATTTTATACAATTAGCATTTTAACGTTAAATAACTGTTATGTGTTTTAGATTACGAAAATACCTTTTTAATCAATCGAGTTCAATTTCATTGAATCAGTGACATTAATTATACATGTATATAATATATGTACCCGACTAAATGTAACTTTGTCATAGAATTTCTTTTTTATTACACTTTATATACCTTTGTTACCCAATGTGTTTTAGATAGAATCAATTGAAAACAGGTTCGCAGTTCAAATTAGCAAGGATATTTTACACCTTTTTAAGTAAGTCTCAAAAATCTTATAGCTTGGCAATGTACTTTGATAAACATATTTTATTTGTATTTTACCTGAGTAAACTTGATAAGACTTAATGAACAGTTCAACTACTAATAATAATACATTATTTCTATATTTAATGCATCATCTACTTCCCGAACTTATGTGTTTGTTAATCTTTTTATCTCCCTTGTATTCCGTTTCGCCAGCATACCGCGTACATGTATCAAAACAGTGTTTGAGTCGCTTTGTTGTTAAGCCGCTCTAGTAAGATATTCCATTTGTAGGTGAAGGTAACATGCTTTGAGAATTAAGGTGACCTATTTACAGTGCCAATATAAGCTTAATATCTAGCCAGCAAATATCAATGATTGTAATGTGGAAATTGAAACTTGACAATTTTTGTCACAGTTGTGAATATATTTACTGTAAATTTACCTAATATACTTTGCAACGCCCCTATAAATAATGTATCGGGCTTGCTCTAGTTAATGGCAAATGGGGTTCCAACAGGTTCAATTGTATTTTTTAACAAATTAAATAAAACCAAGAACATCAGTATAATTACAAAAAAGAGTGACTTTGAATTATAATGTTTTTGTGAGTGTTAAGCTACTTCTATCATTCTTTTCAGTATTAAGCTCAGAATTTTATTTCTAAATTAGCAATTTTCGATTTCGTCGTGTGACGTCATTCGTGTCTCTCTCGCTCTCTTCTAGGGAAAAGTAGTTCTGACTGCCACGATTCCGCGGTTGAAATCATTGGTACCGCATCTAAAAGTGAATCATTGTTATTTGAACTGATTTAAGAAATATAGGAAGACTTTTAAAGTGAAAACGTAACTGAGAAAACTTTATATCAACAGACAATCCATTATAAAAAGTAGTGCGTTATCTCTCCGCCATTTGTCGATTCGGAATCAGTGTGTTACTCGGATCGTTCAGTTCATCAGCTTGGATATATTTTGAATATTTACCCGTGTTTAAGTTACCAAGTGTTGTGATTACTGTTCTATACTGAAGTTTGTGACTTTATTCAACATTTTCAATGAGATTTAATGCGTTGTATTTTAGTGTGTTTGAAAAATACCTAGTTAATCTTGTGACATTTTTCTGACCAGGTTGCAGATAGCGAAAAAAATAAGCTCGGTATATACGGAAGTACTGCGTAAGTATTTTAAGATTATAGTTCGTGACATTTGTATTTTTAATTGTCATTTGAAAATGTTAACATAAATTTCTGTCTGTGGCATTATATGAATTTTTGAATTTTCAAACTTTTGGTGGAAATTCAGGAAGGCACACGAAGGGTGTGCAAAACAAATCGTTCATTTTTTAGCGAAATTGTACGGTATAATTGAGTAAACTAATGCTTAGAGTGATTTAAATGTTAATTTATGCGAAAGGCATTGAAGGGTGTTTGAGAATCCTTCAAGTTTACTTGTTTTATATTCTATAGTCCGTTTCATAGTAGATGCGTTAGAAGCATTATGCTAGAAAATAAGCTATAGTCTGTTTCTGTATGTGTGCAACCACATGACCTTTGTATTCTGTGTATTGATTTTTAGTTGGGCTTATACTTGTTAGTAAGTTATGTAGATATGTATGATCTATCCAATTAGCAATAGGTGGTTAACCAACTGTGTCCCATTTATATGACATTAAGTGATTTTTACATAATTCTTCTGTTGACATTCAGTTTATTTATAATACTAAATTAGTATCTAAATATATTAGTAAATAGCAAAACTTTTTTATTTTGTTTCAGAAAAGGTACATATTCCTGAATTTGTGATTTGTGAAGAAGCATTGACATTTGTGTAAAATTAACTGTATTTTATATTAATATATCTCAGAAATCACCTCATTCTAATATTAAATTATGAAAATATGGGTGTTAATTTTATCAATATTTATTTTTATATTGTGTGTTTATTGCAGCAGTCCTTGAAATTTTCCCTACATTAATCATTAAATTTCTGGGGTTGGAGTTTGGGTCTGGCTGGTGAAGTAGTGTTCACTCACAGAGAAATTTTGGGCCTTCATCCCCAACATGTATGTCCTACTTGATTTAAAGAAATTTATATGGTAACCATGGGAATGAAGTTTGATAAAGGCTACAGTCATGTAGTGTCAAAACAGCAATGAATTATGATGACCTTTAAGTTAGCATTTCTATCTCTCAATTATTGATTTTAGACTTTAAAAGCAATTATTATTACCCACCTGTTGCCAGTATTGGAATGGATAGATTTGATGATATTTTTTAAGGTTTAGGCTTTTAGCTTTCATCAAGTCTTAATTGAAATAAAGTTGCTGTGACTCTTAATTTATTAAGGTAAAACAATTGATAAAATTAAGAGAACACACTACCTTTTTCACCAATGTTATATTTATTAATAGACAGGTAGATTGTACATTTATTCATAGTTATTATGAATGAAATACAATTACATTCAAAATGACATGTTTCCATTATTTTTTTCCAGATTCTGTGGATTTAAAATTGTTAGATGTAGAGGCAGGCACTGGTTAGAAAGATGAGTTTTGGTAGCGACGAAGTCAATTTCCTAGTGTACAGATATCTCCAGGAATCTGGTAAGCATTATGCTAAAGATAAATGAGCCACGTCATAACAAAACGAACATAATGTGTTTGCGACCAGCATAAATCCAGACCAGCCAGAGCATCCGCACAGTCTGATCAGGATCCATGCTGTTCGCTATCAGTTTCTCTATTTGTTATAGGGTTTGTAAGCGAACAGCATGGATCTTGATCAGACTGCGCGGAGGCGCAGGCTTGTCTGGATCCATGCTGGTCGCAAACGCACAATGTTGGTTTTGTCATGGCACGGCTCAAATACAACATAAGTGAAAAATAGTGTTAATAATCCAGGGCTCGAGCTAGTGGGCGATTCGGGCGAAATAGTCGCCGAATTCCGCCTGACTTCGCCGACATCCTACATGAAAGCGAAGATGAAGTCGCCCGATTTTATTGATCCATTATTGAAAATTACCAACAATAACTGTGAATAACATGTTGTGTGTGTTTGCTTTGTTTACCCTCGCCGCCGTAAAAAGGGACTGTCATGCATCTCAATCAACGCGAAATGTCATTAATCCGTTTGTTTACCAACATGTCATAAAAGTCTAATTAACAGACGCTCGAGGAACAATTAGACTCCGCCCACGGCGAGATTACCGATACGTGCGAGAAACCAATCGTAATTCACGTTTTAATCGAGGCGACATTATTTAACCAATCATTAAATCGCTAACATAGAACTACCTGTAACAATTATTTATGATGGACGGATCAAAGACAAACATCAATTAAATTTTCACTATCGAATGATTGTCAGAATTAAGAGGACCGCTCGACATATAACTGTAACGGTAATTTTAAATGAAAGTTATGATAACCTTTTTTGTCGACGAGTTAAATTTGATAAAATTAACGGCGTATTACACTGTATTTATTACAAATGAAGTGAAATTAAAGATCGTTTCTTTCGTTATCTACTTTTATTTTCTTTACAACATAAGTGAATATGAATATAATGTCCGGCGCAAGCTTTTTAATAGTAAATCAGAAGGGAATAACTGTTAATCCACCCATGATATGATCCATGATAGGAATCAACTATGGCTTTTTTTATCTTCATTTAATGCAATGGTTGCATTACATGATACTCATTCTTATTACTTGTTTCAAACTACTTTTAAACAGAGACATAGATAACAATAGTTATAATAATAGCTATCTATGTCTCTGTTTTAAATTAAAATTGAATATTCTGTTGTAACACAAATCCAATTCATTTAATAAGATATGTACAGTGAGTCAACATAATTGCGATAACATACAACAAACATCGATAAATGAATCTCCTCACTTCTCCCTAAAGTCTCCCCACTTCTCCCTAAATCAGCTGGAGGGAGAAGTGACTTCTCCCTAAATTTTGAACCTAGCTTGAGCCCTGTAATCAAGATGATAGTCCAAAGGAAGATGCTTAAATATCATTGTGAAAATTTGATATTTTATGCTTTTTGACCTCAGTGGAGTTCCTTTAATGTTGAAATGTGTCTGAAAGCATTTTATAAATGAAAAAATATTATAGCTTTATAATTGGGCGTCAACACCAAGTAATATAAATTTGTAAGGATTATTTTACATATGACAAATATATTTAAATGAAGAAAATTACTGTGATAAATTAAATATATTTTCATGTTAATTTTCTGCTTGATTTCTTCCATGAAACCAGTTTAATTTGTTTCAAAGCCGAGTGAGTTAACTAAAAGCTGACTGTATCTTAAGACTTTTAATAGAACATTAAAATATTTTGATGTTTTTTCTTATATCACAGTTTTGAAATTTTATTCCCATGGGCCACTTTAGAATACTTTAATGATTGAAGGCTGTAGTTCTTAGCTTCTATATTGTGTGTTGCTTAATTTAGCATTTCAACTAAATAAACACACCTCTCTTTATAACAAACAATTCCAAATTCAAGGCAAGAAAGGTTCATATAAAATATTTAGCATGATAAGGGATAATATAATTTCTTACTGTCGATTATCTGTGTGATATATGTAACATTTAAGTGAGGCATGAAAGCCCATTGTTGTTCTGTTAATTTGTGCTGCCAATTATCATTGGATATGCGAAATTCTGCAATTTTTATGTACCAGAGACCATTTTTTAGACCAATGTAAATGAAGATGTCTGTTCCGGTCTTTATATCCGTTACAGTATAATAAGGTTTTAGATGCTTCCCAGAAGGTTTGGTCTTTATATCCGATACAGTATACTTTAAGGTTTTACATGTAGGTGCTTCCCAGAAGTTTTTGCCAGGGCTTCTGTTAATGGAAGTTGGTAGTTATTGGCTTGTGACTTCCAAAATTTAATGCTTTTTCTTCTTTACTATGAATGTGACTTTCAATATCAGAGGTTTTGTAGTCTCTGACTTCCAAATTTTGAAACTTAATGAAAGCCCTGTTTTGCACAGATGTCAACGTGGCTTTGATTTGCTAATTGTAGCTTACTCCTAGTTGATGGCTGCTTTAGAGCCAATCAGTTTGCAGATCACAACTACCTTTGCGCTGGTCAAAGAAAATGGCTTCAGTAAAAGTTAAATAAGATTTCAGTCCTTCAAAATAGCATAACCCTGCAAGGAGGCATATGCTGCCCCTTAAACCCCTAAGCAAAAAGTTACTCTGATTTCACTTTTTGTTGTTGGCAGCCCTGGTTTATGCTCTTGACATTTTCCTGCAACTAGGTAACAGTCAATTAAAAAATCAATGCCTATTATCATAGAATGTCAGTGCGCTGTGCCGTTTTGAGAGAAAATTAATGTACTTCCAGCAGATAGGCACAGCTTGACGTCTCACAGTGAACAGAGAACAGTCTTTGATTATGATATAAAGCCATAATCTAGGCACAACTATTTTGCCTTTTTTTAGGAAATGGGAGAACATTAGAGATATAAAATTAGCCTAATTGGAGGAAGAAAAATTGAAAGAAAATGGAAAATATATGATGTATAGTCATGAGATAAAAGAAAACTAGGCTATACTTTTACTATTCAATTGATGGGCACTTCCAGAGTCCGTCTAAGTGAGGATTACATGCATGAATGCTTGATAAAATTATTTCTCTAGTGTCTCATCACATCCTTACCCTTACATGTATTTACTACCTTGTTTGGTTGTTATAAAATTTTGTAGAATGAATATATATTGAAAATTTGTTTATTTTTCAGGATTTGTACACTCGGCATACACATTTGGTATCGAGTCTCACATTAGCCAATCAAACATTAATGGAGCTCTTGTTCCTCCAGCAGCTCTTCTGAGTATCATACAGAAAGGATTACAGTACACAGAGGCTGAAATAAGCATTGGAGAGGTATACCTGAGCCCCTTGGTCACACTTTCTCATCATGTCATTTTGTTTTAATGAGTACATGTATATACTAGAGGTGCGCGGTTTAACCGGTATACCGGTAAACCACGGTCCGAGACATCTGCGGTACGTACCGCGGTACAGACCTGGAAAACCGGTACTTTTAGCTCTAATTTAAAGCAATTACAGATCCGTAAAATGTACTAAATTAAAAAACTTTTTCTGTTGTATATGTCAATGTTTCTTTGAGTTAACCTTTTTGCAAACAACTTTCGCCGACTGTTATCATTCTTCGATAGTTCTTAGCGAAAATTGAATGCTTTATCGATTACCGCATGTAACTTGTAAGCCAGAATTGTCGACTTGCATGATTTCAGTTGAAGAAGCAAGAATTGTCGACTTACATTTACTTGTCCAAATATCGCTTATTTGATACGAAAACTAATCGTAAAGATTGATAATTCATGAGGGCATTCCTTGCATAAAATTAGGGTGTTACTATTTTAAGTATTTATATAAATAGCGACCAATCAGGCTAGGGGTTTTCCTTACGTCACGCACTTACTGCATGCGCATGGCAATTAACTAATTATAGAACGGCGTAGAAACTGGATTAAAAGTAATGTTCGTTCAACTAATGAATATTAATTAAGCAGTAACATGGTCAGCTGTTTTCTATGTGATAATTTTAATTTGCTTTTGGGGTACATGTTTGTTTTGGTTTCTGACACAGATTAATTAAATACTTAGCACTTGCAATAAAAAATTTACAATAGCAGCTGGGACTCTGTTATAAAATTAACCGACAAATAAATATTTGTCATCGGCTAACGTGCATTTGACCTATTATTTTATTTTTATCAATACTTTTAGCAATAAAAACATTTTATTTTTCCATTTTAACTATGCAATTTATATAACAGTTGTTAAATGTTGAAAGAGACCAATATATAATATAAAAAAAAAACAAGAACTGATCCATGACCCAATTAATTTATGATTGTCAACATGCGAAAGTACCTTATGAAAAAAGTTAAATGATGCTTTGATTAATCTGTATTTTATAGATCTGCTTAATTTTGATATTTGAAATTCTATACCAGCCTACCTTGATACTTATTTTAGAGATAAAAATTAACATATAGCGTACAATGATAATCCGTGGTATACCGCGGTTTATACCGTGGTTTTTAGGAAAAAACCGTGGTATACCGTGGTATTTTCTTTCTGGCGGTACCCAACTCTAGTATATACTGTACATTTGTATATTGATTCATTATCATATTTATAATTATATAATATATAGAAATAAAGAGTTTGGGTAACAGTTGTTAAATGTTAATGAAGAAAAAAGTGCAGCAACATGTATTCTTTTATAAAAATTATGTTTTATATTATCATATTAAAAATAATGTAGGAAAAGCAAATTATTACTGATTTTTTTTTTAATTCTGTAAAAATAAGAAATTTATACATCAGTCAATTATAATTTCACTAACAACTTCTCATCTGTACTGCAGATTCCACTTCCCACAATGAAACTCTTTTGCAGAGGTTAGGTATATTCATGTTATGTAGATACTATGTAAGAACTTAATTTAAGCCTTGCAATTAGCTAAAATAATACTTTAGGTCCAAAGCCAGTTAAGAAATTAGCTAAGCTCGAAGTTAGATCTCAGGTATTTTCTTGGTGAGAAACTGCCAGTGATTGTACTCTGACTAATCATAATGAAAATCCTGAAATTTGAGATGCATCATAGAAAAAAGCTTTATAAACTCAAGGTCGTGCAGTAGACATGAACCCATTTGAGGCATTAGCCTCTCCCATGCTAATTTACATGCTTTTCAAAAGATTTAACCATGTATGAACAGAACTTTACACTTTTTCAAACAAACTCTTTATGTACATCTGTATATATTACACAGGATGGTTCAGAGAAGCCAATTGAGTCATTGTCCCTGATTGATGCTGTTTTACCAGATGTAGTGGAGAGTCGGAAACAAGCCCAGAATAAGACGGCACAAGTGAAGACAGAAGCGGCAAATACAAATGGCGAGGAAAGTTCGAACACTGTTGGTAAGTTGTCTTGATTATGACATAAACATTGTTAGCAGTCCTGGCTTTATACTGTTTTAAAAAACCTTGGATATTTTTCAGATCAGCCATGTAAAAGAAACATAAGTGTTGCAGGGGAATTAACCAGGCAACCGGGTCATGTTGAAACCCCTGTGTTTGCATTTGTATTTTATTTCTTTGCTGAGTGGTTAAGATCGTTGACTTCAAACCACTTTCCCCTCACCGCTGTGGGTTCAAATCCTGACATGGACTTTAAATCTTTTATGTGAGAAAGCTATCCAGCTACATGTAGCTTAGGGATATGATGGTTCTACTCTTGTAGTTGTACCTGTTTAGCCTGAAATAATGCATGTTAGGGCACCTGAGGTCTTCCTCTACCAGTAAAGCTGAAAAGTTGCCATATGACATATACTGTGTTGGCTCAAGGTAAAACTCAACATGAAATTACCATGTGACATTTAATCATATTGATGTGGTAACAGTTTTGTTTTTGTTTTGCTGAAACTGTGTTAAGCATGACATTAAAAAAGCAACATATGGTGTAATTTTTACATTGACACACTTTCTAGTTAACAGGCTGTTCAGGTGTACTTGAACTTTCAACTGTCTGCCACCAATAATGGACACCCACGTGTTTCTCCGAAGAAAGCTGTCTTGACGACTTGTGAGCATGTTCAAGTTTCAAGAAATCCATATTCAAAGTTGAAATAACAAAATAAGTGTAATAACTACATGTACTTACATTTCCAAATGCTTAAGTGAAGTGCCAAAAGAGCAACCAGTATGTAAGAAGGCCAGCCTGCACATCCTTGGCAGCCCTTTATTTGAATATTTTTATGAAATACCAATTCCCTAGATTCGTTAACAGACATTTACAATTCTTTAACCCTCTGCTGCTAGCGGCAACATATTTTACTAATGCTACCAGAGTAGACCATGATCAGCTTGAATATCCATGTCAAGGGCATCATTCAATGTGAATGAGATAATAGATAATAATGAGATATCATGAGGTTGTATAATATTCATTGTTGAGTACAATACTATATTCTATTGGACGAGTAAACAGCTGACAAACCTATATTGGACAAGACGATAGCAGAGTCTGATATAGATTCTGCAGCTATGTTCAAGTCCAATAGAATAGTATTGTTCTTAACCATGTTTAATTACCTTTTTATTTCACATCTACATTTATGACAGAACTTTGTTACTTCAATTACAATAAGGATTTAATATGGCTTTTTGGACTCGCAAAAAATGTGAAAATGAGGCTAGATGGGGTGCGATATGGATTTGATATGAACCTTTTGGACTCCAGAAATGAATACGAGGCTATATGGAATGGGTTATGGTTTTGATATTCATGAACCTTTTGTACTCTGGAAATATAATAAAGCAGCCGAAATTGATAAGATTCATTATTGAATCCAATAATAATTTCTGTTGGAATATTATAATTATATGTTGCAAATGCTGAAAGTGCATTAACAGTTATATTTTATAGTGTGAAATAAATATAATTATATCTCATGCTGAAATTTATTGGATTTCTTCAGCATGACCTACCACATTGATATTTACCACATAGATTAAGCCAGCTGAGTCGTGATAGAGGAAAAAATGTACATGTAGTCAACAGGCTGATGTTTTTATCGCGAATAATCAGATTATTGAAATCATACTGTAGCCTCTGTGCAAGTTTGTATCAGGATCGTGTTTAAAATAATTCATCTTTTGTGTAGAATAAATCAATATATATCATTAATAATTTGTAATTTGAAATTCATTGCACATTATTTTCAGAGCCAGTGCAATGTATTAGAATTGTTACATTTTATGAAATACTCATTGCAATCTTTTTTATTTCATACATCTTGCATAATGGAAGTTATGATGTTTAAAGTTGAAAAACATTAATTTTGAAATCATATTGCTCATATCTGTCCATTTCCATTCTTCTTTGGTAATTTTGAGAAGGTAAGATAGTGCTTGACCTGTTTTGTTTAATGAATGAAAGACATACAATGGTTTGAGATAGGCACTATCTAGGTTTGATTTAGCCAGTTTGTATAAAAGACATCAGGTTTTGTTCTATGAAGATAAAGAAATGAGTTCACACATGAGGACAGGGCATAAGTTCATTACATAATAGGATTTACAAGGTTAATTATGACTTTAGTGATGCAATCTTGTTTCACTCCCTGAACCCTGTACTGATAATGACCTACTATTGCTGGAACAAAAAAGTGCAAGTCTGCATGTACTCAATCAGTGAAATTGAAATCAGACAATACTTGCTGCCCCAGTCTGGGTAATTTTTGTGTTCTGATACTGAAATAGCTTTGTAGCATGCACTATTTGGCCACAATTTTGAATCTTGGTTGATGCATGCTTTTGATTTTCCAAGAAAGTTTGACTGTGGACTATATAATATAAATAAAATTAAGTGGGTTCTTTTGCAGATAATTGAAGTTACTTATTTGGAAATATACATAATTATACAGGTTATATACAAAGGAATGTGCTGGCAATTTTTTTTACGAGATCTTTAATAAAAAAGACTTGCTATAATGCTCCACTTCTGGCTGAAGGGTTGCCATTCATGGTTGAGAGCCACTGTTTCTCCCTGAGTAATCGTAAGAGGCAACGAAATAGGTTAGAATATCTGGAGGCTATGCATCTCATAGCTCTGGCAGATGAGGTGGTTATGACCCCTGAAGTTGTTTTTTGAAGTTTGTACCAACTGACCTTAGCCAAAATCATATTTCCTATTTCGGTGCAATATGACAATATAATATTGTGTTGCCAGTTGGTGTCCCATGAAACCAAACAAACCAAACTGCTATAGTGCTAAACCTATATCAGGATAAGAATTAAAAATCTCATTTAGGTTTTACTGTAGTGTACTGGCATTTAAATGTCAAGAATCTTATTAGTATATTCAGAGGAAACACACATAAACTGACAATAAATGTCGACAGGTTTGGTCTTGTAGTGTTGTAATTCTAAATTCTTTCCTTCCTTTCCCTTGACAGCTTTTTTAATATGACAAAGCATACAGCTAAATTATCTTGTTGAGACAAATAAAAATGACTTGTTTTCTAGTAGAAATTTCAATATTGAACTGAATACAGTTATGCTATAATACGGCAGGCCTGTATGTATATCGTTGAAACAGACTATAGCTGTTTTTCACATGTAGGCAGAGAGAAAATCAATGGGAGAAGGAAATAGTGCTCTCTCTCTCTCTCTCTCAAAGTAAAAAAGAAAATGTCAAATAAATTGTTAGGTTTCCAGATTTTTATCAGCTGAGTAAGATATTAAAATAGTTGATTTATTTGCTGTTTTTTTGTTTACCTACTCAAATTGCAGTGTAAGGAAAAAGTTTTGTTGTGTAGAAGTTGGTGTGTTTTTTTTTCTCTTTAAAATATGAGGGAGATTTATTTTAAAAGATTTTTTGAATACCACCAACAAATATACATAAACAGGATAAATATAATGCTAGCCCAGAAAAGGATTTAAGACCAGCATGCACATCTGTGCAGCCGAAAATACCAGACTTTTAATTTACCATTGTCAGCTGAAAAATCCTTGTTTTGTTGCAGATGTTGAAAACACTAAATTCAAAAAAGGGTTGTTTGAAACAATGCTTGGTAAGCCTGTCCCATAAATTAAACAGTACCCTAGATAATGTTGCTATAACTTTTGGTCAAACCCTTTTGTATGTATATTGTATTTATGCTAAAGGTAATGATGTTAAAGTGTATCAATTTAAAATACCATAAAATATTAAATTGAAATAGGGAGAGCTACTGTATTGTACTCACCTAGGCATCAGCATCACACAAAATTGGTTAAAGTTATTGTGTGCAAGTTGGTATCAGGGAAAAGTTGAAACTTCATATACTTATTTGAGAGCATACCGGTAATAGGGATAACTCATCATTACTGTCCAAGGCCCATTAATCTAATATGGATTTTGACACAATTATGACCCTTTTTGAACTTAGAAACTTGTTTTAGTATCAAGCACTGAGAATAATCGAGCATGCTGTCCTATCAACAGCTCTTGATTTCAAGTATAAAAGTAAGGGTAGTAATTCTGGTGAAGTTCAATTTATAATATGTGATAGACGAAAAAATTGCAGTGAAGTTGGAATATTTAATTGCTATTTTAAATACCAAAATAAAGCTATGCAGCCACTAATATTGATCTAGCCATGTGACATGTGTGTTACAATAGCCTGATTATGTGCTTTAAGACTAGCAAGTTTTTATCACCATGACTCAGATTCAAGCTATATATAGAAATTAAGGTTATAAATTTGATTGAAACCCTTAGATTTTGAAAATGGACTTGCCCAGCTTTGAGTTGGAGCAACTTATTAGAAGATTGAGGGATTTCATTATCAAACATGAAAAACTGGACCGACTCCTGGCGGAAACTCTATACTGGTGGCAATCAGGCGTGTCATAATTGCCGTAATTATTCAAAGTGTAATTAGTTCCGTGAAAATTGTATCATTATCTTTTCTCATTTATTACTTGAGTGATATAAAGCATATATATACATCTGTTGTTGGTATACATACATCTGTTGTTGTTATGATTTAAGGAATTTACTCAAGGTCATAGAGATACACAGATTCTAAGATAATAGTAAAATATTCACAATGATCAGCTGCTGTCTTTTGTTCCATAAAATTTTGTGTTTTTGCATTTAATAAGTTCATGCTGTATTGTCACTATTTTTATGTCCTGATGTCCTGGTCAATTGTTACCCAATAATACCAATCCCCCAGGGAAATAGTTTGGACTTTAACTCCAGGATTTACAAGGATGGGAATATAGAAGCTTTGCCTTTTGGTCAAGGTAAAATGGTAAAATTTCACACCCTGCAATTTGAAAATACCAACTAGACCACTATTTTGGTGCTAAATACTGGCAGTGCAAGGCGATTAGGGGTTTAGGGATGGGGTTTGGATGTTTGGCTGGAA